TTGATGGTTTCACAAGTAACTTCGGTTTATTAATGCACGGTCATGGTTAATAAACTTAAGAGGAATTAATTTTGTTGGTTAAACCGAAACCGTTGTGTTGAGGTTATCAATCTCAATTGATTTCATCAAGGAGTTAAGAGATTAAATGCTACTATCAAGTCGGTATATGGCGGTGTTCTATACTTGACTAATAGTAAGGGTTATTAATGAACGACTGTTGTTAATAACTACCCTCGATGAATTGGATATACTCCTCGATTGAGTATTCGATATAATCAGCTAAAATAATATAGTAAGGGTTATTAATGAATTGAATTAGATACAACAATGATCGACTAAAATATATCAATAAGTGGATAACAGTAATGCCAAGTCCTTTTTATCTTTGAATTAAATCTCATATAAGTCGTTCATCTTCGTATTTAATTAAATTAAATCACTCAATCCCAAAACCCCCCTTATTTACTAGTTTTACTAAAAAGAGAATTATTCTTTTCCCTGTGGACACGAACTCTACTTCACCTATACTACGTATAAGTGCTAGTATCGAATATTATTTTGACGCACTGTGACAAAGTGCTCGTCAGGGGGCCGGGTGATTGTAACACTTGAGATTTAATATAAACGGATTAATAGTACTACTCATACCAACAGAGGTGCATCTCCTTTAAGGGAGCTCATCACCCAAGAACTCCAAAGTTAAGCGTGCTTGCACGTAGGGCTGAGCAAAACCCGAACCGACCAGCAAAACCCGAAGTTTTTTTTTAATAATATCCGAACCGAAATGGATATCTGACCCGAAAAACCCGAAACCAAAAATCCGATTAGTATTGGGCCTAGATCAGGTGGCGGGTAGGGTTTGTATAATCCCAACCCAACTCGCCCAAATATCCTAAATATATTAAATAATTTAGTGTGTACTTTGAATATGTTAAATTAATATTTGTGTTCAATTATTTGTGTAATTATTTGTGCAATTTGTGTTAAATTATTTTTGTAATTTGAATGTGTAGTGAACTAGTGTGTACAATTTTGTCAAAGTGACATTCCAACACTTTAATTATCCAATTATAATGTGTTTTAATATAACCGAAATTTTCGAAATATATTAAATTATGTAGTGTACTAGTGTGTACTTTGAATATGTTAAATTAATACTTATGTTCAATTATTTGTGTAATTATTTATGCAATTTGTATTAAATTATTTGCGTAATTTGAATGTTTAGTGCACTAGTTTGTAGAATTTTTGTCAAAGTGGCATTCAAGCACTTTAATTATCTAATTATATTTTTTTAATATACCCGAAATATCCGAAACACAATCCGATATCCGATAATATCCGACATACAAATATCCGAAAAACCCGATTTGAAATATCAAAAGGCCGGGCCTAGTATTTAACTTAAAAAACCCGAACGGGTTTAGGGTACGCAGACCCGACCCACCCGAACCCGACCTGTGCTCAGCCCTACTTGCACGGGAGTAGTCTTGGGATAGGTGACCCCCTGAGAAGTTTCTCAGGGCGCGCATGAGTTAGGACAAAGTGCGCGGTAAAGGCTCGTGGTGGTTTGTGAGGACAGTACTAGAGGTCCGTAGGGTGTGTATGAGTAACTACCTTGGGTCCTGCGGGGCCGGGGTGTTACATCGGAAACCCTAAGCCATTTGGGGAATCCAATATTTATAAGGGGAAGCACTGCCTTGAAGAACCAATAGGGAAGCGCCGCGTGGCGAGGAGCATATCCCAGGGTACATGGGCGGAGCTAGGGGTGGGCCAACCTAGGCCATGGCCCACCCCAAAATTTAAAAATGGCTTAATTTTTAAGGTAAAACATTTCGTGTAAATTTTTTCTAAAAATATTCTTTGTACCGGCCCAGTCCGGCCCACTGCTCTGGCTCCGCCCCTGCCAGGGTATGTGTCACGCGGAGATGAACGGCCGCAATGATGACTTTTCCTCGGAAGTTGCACCATTTCTGCGGCAGCCGCCACCTAGGTTTTCGGGAACCACCGCCAACGGATGAACACCGGGATCAGGAACGTCTCCCACCAAGGCAGTTATACTTCCTTATGTCCCACACATGCTTGGAACATCAGAAGTGGGGGACTTGTGTTGGGTTAATGGCCCCATTAGAGGGTCGGCCCATTTACCCCTCCTCGGACGAACGTCTAGGCCCAACAACACCTAAGTCCCTTGATGAACATCTCCACCAGAGAAGGTTGATCTAGCTTCAGGGCCCAAGGCACACGGGACGAACGTCACCATACCTAGGGAGACGCCCGTCTAATGTTGGAGTGATGGGCCATAGGATGTACGTCCCACAACCCTTTACAGTATTTACCAGGAGCAGGCCCCAAGCCTAGGGAGACGCCCGTCTAATGTTGGAGATTTGGTGGTTGGAGCATCAACCATTCACAGCTCTCCACGTCATCATCGCCAACCGCCCATTGGTGGTATAAATAGTAACATTTATTTCATTGTAAAGGGTTGGCAACTGATTAGCCTTAATACTCTAGCTTAATTTCAGCTCTTAGCTTATTACTCGCAGCTCTTCTACCGAGGTGTAAGAAGAACGACCAGCGGCCCTTAGCAAGCGTATTGCATCGGGGGTTTAATAGACATTAATAATATCCAATCTTTTACTTGCTTATCATTTTCTGAGCCCATCTTACTTGTTTGTTGGATCAGTTTATTTACTCACATACTCAAAATTCACTCGAAATCTTTGGGCTTACGTGTTGGACCCAAAGGTTGAAGGAATAAACCTCAATAAAAGGTTATGACCTATAATATAATATCACCCTAGATTGAGGGTCTTAGAAATTGAAACATCGATTATACTTAGTATAGTTGTCATTGTACTTTACAAATGATTCAAAGTACTGAACTCCTCTTCACGAGGGAGGCCTGATAAGTCTGATTTGTTCATATATTTTCACCCACTTTTTATAGCGTTTCTTGTCAAACTCGGGGAAAGTTGTTACATTTTTCTTCGTTTTTGTTGTATTTTTGTTAATGTTTGAAATTAGTGTTGAAGTTTGCATTTTTGAGTGATTTGTGTTTAATTCAAGTGTTTGGATTGATTTTATGTTTTTCTTCTCCTTATTTGTGTTATTTATATTTTGTGATTTGTCAAATTTTAGTGTTATATTACATTTCAAAATCAGAATAAACAAAAGAAAAAACACAAAAACTCACAAGAGCAGCCAAGCTGCGTAACAAAAAAAAAAACTTAAGCCAAGCAAAAGGAAAACGAACACAAAAACAAAGGAGATAAGTGGAGACAAGTCAACCAAAGAAAACACAAAAACTCACAAAAGCAGCCAAGCTGCGTAACAAAAAAAACTTAAGCCAAAGAAAAGGAAAAAAAACACAAAAACAAAGGAGATAAGTGGAGACAAGTCGACCAAAGAAAACAAGAAGGGACGGATAAGCAGCCGCACATGGCTGCGGCCAATTCAAAAGAAAACAACAAAGGAAGCTGCAATCACCCAACTAGCCGCAAGTACATGGGATCGGCAGCCAAATCATCTGCTGGGAAGAGCAATAAAGGGACGGCACCAACCAGGGAAGAACGGACACCCATAATTCTGCCGCAGAAAAATTCACACCCGCAATCATTAAGCGGCAAGTAGCTCTGGGTCGGAAGAAAGCTGCACTTAGCAGCAAGAACGAGAGAAAAAAAAGGCAGGTCATCTACTGGCCAATGGCAGGCCGTAGGAAAGCAATCACTCAGCCGGTTTGGAAGAGATCATTCACGGCGGAACAAAGCAGAAAACGCAGCTGAACAATTACATTGTATCAAGCTACTCCATGTTCATCAATTGCTATTTTAAGGTTTTGTCTATAATTTTATGTTTGAATAAGCTTTAAATTTGGTTCTTGGATTAATTATAATTTCGAACTGCTCTTAAGTTAGATTTTTGAACTGTTATTATGTTGAATGAATATGTATTTGAATGGTACGTTTCCATGTATTACTTTTGCTCCTTCATTAATGGTGTTAGTTTCTTGATAAGGATGTTATTAGGCTAAAATTCCATGGGGTTTGGATTTAGACAAAGTTAATTAAGGTTAATGGGTGTTCTTGAACATTGAATTGAATTTAGGAATTTTCTCCAATTTTAGGACTAGTTGTTTGAGATAAAATTGAAAGAGTAATTTGTGAAATTGATCACTTCACTTGTTAATTTTTAGAAGACTAATTCTTTCTTGTCTATGAGTTTAGAATTTAATTTAGCTCATATCTCACACACCTTAAACTATGCCTAGAAATAGGACATGTTAGGGGAATTAAAATCAAGTTCTTGTCTATGAGAATTAATATATCACTATTCTTAAATTGGAGAAAATTTCCCATTTTCGTTCATAATCATAGACACCCAAGATCCTTAATTCCAAATCTAGACCCCACTTTTAATTAGTTAATTTTTCGTTACTAGTCACATTGAATTTACCTTTAAGTATTTTATTTTCAAAACTTTACTTATCCACATGTTTGCTAGTTTAATATTTTAGTTAGTTAATTTTCTTTCTCAAGATATTTAGCATGTTCACTAGTTTTAGTTTACTCATTAAAGTCATTTAGTTAAATTTGCCGTTACTACTTTTGTTATTTATTTTTAATTACTTAATCATTATCACAATTAATCGTTTGAGAAAGCTTGCAACGATTCGTACTAACCGGTGACCGATATTGAAACCAACACTTCCCTCCGCCACTCCTCAGAGACACGATAGTCGGGGATAAACCTTTCCATCCGGAACGGTTAAACTCCGTTTTACTACAACGCCGCGAAAGCGGTTATCAAGGCCACCCCACAGTTTCAGGTAGAACTTGAAGGTTGCTCCCATCGCCGTTGTTTTCGGGGAGATCAAGGAGAGAAGACGTGGTTCGTGCTTCCTTCGTTTCTGTTTTAAAAACAATTATATTAATCCTCATGGGTATTATTTTCTGAATAATTATTTGGGGGCTTGTATGCCCATGTTTGCCAAGTGTGGCTTGAACACTTGTTATATTACTTTTGCTGCTTTAAATGAGTATTTTACATTATGTTTGTTTATGGATGTACTATGTGCGAATGGTATTCAAGATGCCTAGTATAGTATGGATGAGTTGGACTGCGGTTGACTATCCGTACTGTACGGCGGGTTGTTGATGTGTCCGGTAGGTCCAGGGCGCGATAGGTTTGGTGCATAACCACTCTTAGGGAAGCGTTGGTGTGGTCCAGAGTGTTTAACTTCTGGTATGAGGGGTTTGGTGTAGACCCGCCCTTAGAGAATCGTTGGTGTGATCCAGAGTCGTTAACTTCTGCTCCAGTTTCATAAAGTGGTCTCGGTAGCCCGCGAGCACCTTCTCTAGTAGGTCGTTCTTTTCCATTTTTCTGGCCATAAATTTTTCATGACGAGTTTCTTTCAATTCTTCATCAATCTCTCCTTAGCCATAGCCATGACCTCTAATTGCCGCATTAACATCTCTTGCATTATCTCCATCACCCTATCACTCTGCATGCATATAAATAATCGGTAGAGTTTAATTCACAAAACTCTCTTTTGGAGTTGTGGTATGACATATAAATTCTACACATTATTCTATCCACTTCAAAAAAAATTGTCAAACCCTCTAATAAGTTATATTTTTTCATGCCTAAAATCCTTCCAAAAACAAGTTTAACAATTTAAAAATCACTTATTAATAATGTGATTGAGCATACAAGTGACTTTGTTAAAATTCCTAAATCAACACAAAAAATACTGATTTTTTTTTTGCAATTGATTTTTTTTCGTAGGAGGCTTAGTGAATCAATAATATACACTAATTTCATGTACTACGTAAAAAATTTATACATGGAGAGATTTGACACATTTTGTAGATTACACTAGCTACTTTCATGTACTACGTATAAATACAGTATTTTATGTATTACGCATAAACTTTCCATAATTCTACAAATTTAAGCTAATTCACTCACTTTAGCTAAAGTTCCCGAAATTTCAAAAAAATCAAACGATTCTGCCAATTTGAGTGTTAAGGTCAGGCCATAAGTAACGCTGGGGTTACACTATTCTAGCTGAATCCGTTAAAGCATTTAAGTTGGAACCACTTTAGCTACATTTTCCTGCAGAGTATAATTTTTTTATCTTTATGTTATTAGTATATGTATATGTTTTTTTCTATAATGCAACTGTTTCACACCGAACGTCATCAATTTCAATAAAAAAACAAATTTAACTCATTTCTATGTTAACAAACAGGCCATAAATAAAACTAATAGAAGTACAAAGTACTATGTACTAAGTACTATGTACTTAGTTTATTATGGCGGGATTGGCACGGAATTTGGCACGGACTTATCAATTTTTCGTGCCAAATAGCTCGTGCCAAAGTGTTTTTGGCACGAATTTGGCATATCCCTGCCAAAATCCGTGCCAAATCCGTGCCAAAATCCCTGTCAATCCCGTGTTTTTTTGTAGTGGTATATGGTACGCCTCATGTAAATACGCTTAAGTAGTAGGGAGGAGGTAAAAAGCCTAGCCATGATCCAACTCACTCCAAATTGACAAATGATTGTAAATTCATTGGGAACAAATATTTCTATGACTATCGACTCACCCTACTATTTGTACGCCTTGTCCTTGAGCGTTTTTCAAAGTATTACTGAAACAGAAATTAGTTATGGAAATATAACTAATGTTACTTGAGTATAATGTGATTGTCATTAAGTTAAAAATTGAACGCAAAAAACTACGAATATTTACTAAAGTTACTACTATATATAGTCACACCACTTAAGATGTTACTTCGTATATATATACTTTCAAAAATAGATGTATTTTATTCAGAAAAGTGTAGTTACTTCTATTTATAAAAACATAATTACTCTTACATACTTTTAATAAACATACACTTGTCGTTTTACCTTTCGTTTTAAATAATTATTAACATACACTCCGTAATGTAAAAACATAAATATTCTTACATACTTTTACGTCGTTTGTTTCATATATTTTACTTCTTTCGCTATTCTTTTGATCGGAAGGGATAAGAGATGAATGGGTCTCCCGTGCATCCCTATAAATACTGTGAAATGCTTTAAATATAAGTAAAAATGTTTACGAATTCGAAAACAGTCTTAACTTCGTCCCTAAAACAAAAAATTTACCAATTAAAACTTTGACAAATTATGTTATCTATTTTAATTAAGTTTGTCATTGGTTTTGGTGGATTTTTGTTTTTTCGCAAATGTTCTTTTCCTACACCCAATGACATGGTGTCTTCCTTTTCCTGCGGACAAAACAATCACCCTTTTCTTTTAAATGGGGTAGTTTGTTTGGGCTTATAGTAGTTAGACTTATAATTAAAATTATTAAATAATTAGGATACCTCTTTTAATTTTATTCTTTGTCTCCACCAAATTGGCATTTGAAGTAAACTTGTTTGGTTGACTCTTGGCACTCTCCTGGCCTTCCTATTTGAATTGTGTCAATAATGATATTGGTGATGACATTATTGAACGACATTGACCCAACATTGTGTTTAAGGTCTTTCCCGTAGTCCCTCCAAGATTCTGCCAACTTCTCAATTAGGATCCCGATAATGAATGACTCTGGTAGATCTATTTGGACGCCCTTAAGATGTTCCAGTAGCGTCAGGTACTCATGGATTTGTGTTGTAATATCTCTATCATCCTTCATCTCCCATTTGTAATAGTTTCCTATCACAAAGCTCTGTTTGACACTGTCCTCAGTTGTGTATTTGGCTATCATGGAACCCCATATTTTCTTCGCCACTATGTTGCAATAGACATCAAACAACTCATTAGATAAAGTACTAAGAATAGTTCGGCGACAAACCTTGTTCGCGTAGGTCCATTGTGGCAAAATTTTGGCACCGACTTTTGTCTTCTGATCCGGCATATTGTCTAGCGTGGAGAATATACATTCTTGCCACCTCTTGAATTTTAGTACAGTAGAAAATACTTCAACTTTTGAGATGTCCGAAAATGACTTTACATGAGTGGGTGTAGGCTCAAAAGGCATGGCAGTAGAGTGGGTCAGGGGGCGGTTTTCCCAATGGAAGTGTCAAGTATGGTGATACGCTCGTTCATCTTTTCCGATGACATACTTTTTTTATTGTTGGATAGTTGTCATCGGAAATCTGCAAAACAATGTTAGAAAATTAAATAAAGCTCGAGACATGACCAAGACGCTGTTCTCGAGAAAGTAGACCGGACACAAAACTACGAAGATGAAAGACTCAGAACCCACTGTAACCAAGCAGCTATATTGGAAAATGGTAACACTCAGAACCCACCCCTTTGTAAAGACTTAAACATATACTCCCTATATATAGATAAGAATATACGTTAAATTAGTAATCTCCAAATTAAAAGGGATCATTTAAAGCCTGCCATGCCAGTATGCCACGTTCAAAGAATGTTTTTTAATATGCCAACGCTCAAAGATTTTTTTTGGAAGACCACGTTCAAAGAATTTGAAAACTTGGTTAATGATAAATATATCAAGAGTCCGTTTGGTAATAGCGTGACTTTTTTCTTTTAGTTTATCAGTCAATTTTTTATTAAATACGTAACTTTTGATTTGACACGCTGAATTGTTTGATAATATGAAAAAGTGTGGTTGAAATTACTTTTCTGGCTGTCTGAAGTTATTGTATATGACCATTTTAGCTATTTTTACATAATTTTTTTTCTTTATTTTATTAATAAAATATATTTTTAATTTTTCTCCACAAATCAACAAAATCAGCTAATACAGCTACTTCAGCTAGAACTTCATAACTTTCAGCATAATGACCTAATACAGTCACTTCAGCTAGAACTTCATAAGTTTCAGGAAAATCAGCGTGCCAATACACCCGATTTGGGTGTTACCAAATGGGCCCTAAGTGGCTTAATTAAAACAATAGGAATATACGTTACACAAAGTCACTTCGGCTAGAACATCATAACTTTCAACAGAATCAGCTACTACAGTAGTTACTTCAGCCAAAACTTCATAAGTTTCAGCAGAATCAGCGCGCCAATACAGCCGATTTGGGTGTTACCAAATGGGCCCTATGTGGATTAATTAAAATAATAGGAATATACGTTACACACAGGGCCGTCTAATGAATTTGGAGGCCCCGATTGTAGATGCAAAATTGAGGTCCCATATATGAATAAAAATGAAATCACATATAATAACAACTCACATAGTTTGACAAAAATAAACGTGTTCACGTACTCATAGAAAAAAACATGATTTAAAATATCTACATATTAATATTATATACAAGTATATAATATACGGGTCGGAGTAACTATATTGTAATACTAATATTAAAAAAATTGGGGCCCGAAATTGGGGGTGTTTGGCAATTGGGAGTTGGTTTTTAGTTGTTACTTGATTGTGTTGGCTGATTGATAATGACGGATTTTGTTGGTTGTTTTGGTTATAAGCTGATTCTATTAGCAGTTTGTAAAATATTGTTTGGTTAATTAAATGGATGTTTAAAATCAGCTGATAACTTGTTAAATGACTTTTAAGGACTTCAATTTTTTGTTGTTGATATAATTAGTAAAATTACTTAAACAATTTCAAAGATTTAAAAATGTAAAATTTATTAACACAACTAATAATCATCAGTATGCAGATATTTTGATTTTTCTTTATCATGATATTTTGATTAATAATTGGAATTATAAATAAAAATACACCAAAAGAGTTGTATAATAAAAATGATAAATGTATTTGTATCTTAATCTCAACATAATTAAAAAATACTAATGATCACTTTGAGTTCATCCTCCTAACGCAATACATACAAACTGAGTTTAATTTATTCAATTGTATTTTACAGTATAGGGTGGCTACTAGACTTAACTAAAGATATCACCCTGTCACAAATGATCGAAGCAAACGGGCTCGCCTTTTATCATGAAGTATGGAAGTTCCAATCCTCCAGAGATGCCAAAAGTTGAAAATGGTTTGACCCATACAATAGCAGCAAGAGGATTTTCTTTACTTGGTAGTGGTCTACAAAGTCTTTCCTAACGTAATTGGTTTTTCCTCTTTGACGGAACATAATTTGTTCTTCCTTGGCGGAAGTTTTATTCTTTGCTGTGAGAAATACGAGAATGCGGGTAATTTATTAGGAATAAAAGCAAAAAAATGGAAAAGCCAATCGTAAAAGCTAGATTTGTGGCGTTTTAGATTTTGACTATTTGGGACAAAAAGTCAAATAAAACAGTCATTTATCAAACATCTGGTCAAACAGCCAAATTGTAGTCAAATCAGCCAAAATTGGTTGATAGGCTCCTGGCTCCTAACCAAACACCCTCATTCAACTTGCTAATATAAAAAACGGCCCTGGTTACAAATTTGGGACCAAACGGAAACCATTTAATAGTAAAATATACTTCCTCCGTTCTTAAATAAATGCAATGGTCAACATTTCACACTTGTCGAGACACAACTTTGTCCATTAATATAAATGATTTTGTATTAGTAAAAAATTAAAAAAATTAGATTATGAAAATTTACAATGAGACAAGTTTAACAATATTTTTTTCATAAAATAATATTATTACATTAATAAATAAAACATAGTCAAAGTAAAACATGTGAATAATGTAAAAGTCAAAGTGTTGCATTTATTTAAGAACGGAAGTAGTCGACCTCTATATAAAAAGAGGTGGAAATCATGTCATATTTCCCGCTCAAAAATGTCACAATCATGGCTCAAAAATCGATCCCATGCGTAGGGCACTGCGGGTTGGTTGTTTGTCACTGTTTGGTTGCGCGTTGAAAGTGTTATGACCAAAAGGTTAAAGAAGTAAACTACTGAAAAGTTGATGATCGGTCCGCTGCCCAATCTTGATTTTTCCTTTATACCTGTGTGGTCCGATCTGCGTCATACAAAGGGTATGCGGAAGTTTTTCTTCTTGTGGTTCAACGGATGAAAAGGATGGGGGGAGTGGATTGTGCAGAATATGCCTAGCCGTCTGGTTTCTTCTGCGCGAGGTCGCGGGGGCTGCGAACAGGGCAAGGGCAATCAACGGTCTTGCAACGGGTGAGGAGCAGAGAATGAAGCGCAAGGTAAGGGCAGGGAGGTTCGATCGTCTTCAGGGAGCAAGGATGGAAGGAGAGATGGTCAGATAGAGATGACCAAGGGTTCGGTAGACATCTCCCAAATTGATTTAGCCCAGGGCTGAAGGATGAAGAGGAACGTATGAAACTTTGTTGCGGCAAGAGTACAGGTAAACTTTGGTTCTAAATGATTAAACAATAACTTTCAAATGATAGCTTCTGAGATCTGTCAAATCTATATTGGAGTGTAAATCAGGATGTAGGATAATTTTATTTTCAGCCTAATAAGATCATTCAGAATTGCTCTTTTTTAGGTTTACGGAGTTCGGACTTATTGAAATTGAAATCCCATTACATGAACTTGGTGAAAAATTCTGACCAGAATCATTTTTAACGGGACATCACAAGGTACAGTTGAAGTTTAGTAGTAAATTTATCTTCCTCGTGCCCTCGCCTTGATAGTTGATATTCTGGTAGAAGCTTTATGAACCACTGAAGTGTGCGGTGTAGAGAATCACCATTTTATTTGCAAATATACATTTGTACCATTTCAATTTTATCTTTTCCCAATGAGAAAGGTGGCTTCCTAACAGTTTGCTTCTTCTTACATGACTGCCAGCTATACACACCAGTGTGATGCGTAGTCTTGGATGAACTTTCTGCTTCTTCCAATTTTAGGCCCGCAAGGTTTTTTGTGTAATTTATTTATTACGTGCTACCTAATAATTTCATTGTAATTCTGTCTTTGTGATGTTTGATAAAATGTTTTGGTCATTTTTCTTTGGCAGTTCTGCCTAGATGTTTTATGGAACTAAATCTATATTCTATAGTATTTACTCTCTAATTCGGCTTATGTGATGTTTGATGATGTTTAGGTCATTTTTCTTTGATTTTGATAATCTTGGGTCATTATTGATAGAGGCATTTCTTTGATTTTCTACATGGTTTGATCAAACTACAGCTTGATTGTCTTACATTTAGGTGATTGCTGCTAATCATTTCATTTTTCTGCTGCATGTGTACTTAAGTGCAGTACGTGTTTTGGCAGCTTTTCTGTTGGATATTCATCAAAGTTCAACGGCTTCATCAACAAAAAGGTCTCGAGAAGACATGGTTATTGGTCATTTAAGTCTTTAATTTGAAAAGCCCTGTATGAGTCTATACAGCTCCATAAATGAGTCAAATGTGAGGAGAAAAATATTATTTGGACTCACTTTGTGTACACATGCTGACGAGCACTTTGTCACGGTGCGTCAAAATAAATTCAACACTAACACTTATACGTAGTATAACGTAGTAGAGTTCGTATCCACAGGGAAAGGAATAATTCTCTTTTTATAAAACTAGTAAATAAAAAGGGGGGTTTTGGGATTGAATGATTTAACTTAATTAAACATAAAGATGAACAACTTAATTTAAAGATAAAAAGGACTTGGCATTGCTACTTTCCACTTGTTGATATATTTTAGTCGATCATTGTTATATCTATAACTAATCCCCTCTCGAATACTCAATCGATGAGTATATCCAATTCATCGAGGGTAGTTATTAACAACGACCGTTCATTAATAACCCTTACTATTAGTCATGTATAGAACACCGCCATATACCGACTTAATAGTAGCATTTAATCTTTTAACTCCTTGATGAAATCAATTGAGATTGATAACCTCAACACAACGGTTTCGGTTTAACCAACAAAATTAATCCCTCTTAAGTTTATTAACCACGACCGTGCATTAATAAACCGAAGTTACTTACTTGTGAAACCATCAACGATTAACCATCGGTTCGTTGACCGTTTCTAGTAGTAATTAATGTCGAGATGTTAACTAATTGTCATCTTAGCAACACTCCCCAACATTAATATAGAGATAGATTAAGGGAAAAATTAATATTCAAGGAAGAAGATTAAATATGAATAATCCTACTATAACTAATGTCAAGATGTTATCTAATTGTCATCTTAGCAACACTCCCCAACATTAATATATAGAGGAAGAAAATAAATACTACTATAACTAATGTCGAGATGTTAACTAATTGTCATCTTAGCAACACTCCCCAACATTAATATATAGATAGATTAAGAGAGTAATTAATATTCAAGGGAAGAAGTTAAGAAAATAACTCACAACTTTAATAATCAACAAGCTTCAAGAGCAACACCAAGAAATGGAAGTTTAGCTCCTCATTTGGAGACTAAACATGCTATAAAAATAT